CTTCCCTGCAGCGGCTCCTGTCCCTCCGTGGCACGCGGTCCCTGTGGGCTGCCCCACGCACTCCAGTGGCATCACTGCGAGCTGCCCGTGTCCTTTTCCTGGCTGCTTTTCCGGTGCACATTCCCACAACACTCGCCTGGGACAGCTACCCTGGTCCGCAGATGAGTGTGGAGCTCTCACTGGGCTGCCTTTGTTCTCCTTGTTTTTCCAGCTGTGATGTGAAAAGGCTCTTCCCCATCTGAGACGAGGGCACGTTGCCCTTTGCTGCAGGGGAAGGTTTGTGTCTGAAAGCGGAAAGCACAGCTTGACCTTAGACAACGATGTACAGATGAATAGACCGAATAACTAACACCACATCCTTTCTGTATTTACAAATTAAATAGAATAAATAACATCTGTATGCAATAGTGACAGATCATGGACCATAGTGTGGGCAGGGCCGCCGCGGCTCACGCTGGGCTCCTGCGGCAGCTGCTGTGCGCATCCTGCATCCCATCCGAGGTACCAGCGCCCCGGTCTCTGCCATGGGGTGGATCCTGAAGGGTCTCTGGAGGGTCAGGGAAGTCCCTCGCTTCCTCCAAGCGAGGCCAGCTGGGGTGAGAGTTCGGCACTCCCAGCAGCAGGATGGCTGACGTCAGGCTGCTCTTTGCTTTCGACGTCTGTGTTGCAAAAGATTTGGGCAGCGTGGACGTCAGCTGGAGGAGCCCGGCGCTCGCGTGGGGAGGGGAAGTGCAGGGCTGGCGCCAGCCCTGAGTGTAGTCCTGTGAACCCCGCACTGGGCTTCTGGGGAGGGCAGGCAGGGCAGGATCGTCCTTTGGAAACGTCCTGGTGCGTATCCTTGGGCTTGGTGGTCGGAGGAGGTGGGGGCGAGCCCTTCCAGCGGAGCCTGTTCCCGGGTGCTGTTAGCTGTGCACGGGGGACTGGCTGGAGGGAAGGCGCAGGGCGCGCTGTGGGTGGTCACAGTGGAACCGGGGCCAAAGCAGCCCTAAAAGCAGCTAAGCAGGTGCTTCTCGGGCGAGTCTCAGCCGGGACACCGCTCAGTCCGATGCATTGACATCCAGGGGTCGGCCGTAGCTTATCGGAATAGCTGCTCCCCGTGGGCAGTGGCTAGAAGAGGTAGTTGTGTCAGTGTGTGGGGCTGGCAGGCACCCGCTCCCCTGCACGGGGATGGCTCACAGGCGGCTGTCCTTGCTGTCCCCGGTGAGCAGGCTCAGGGGGTTGATTTGCAGCGTGAGCCACTCGTTGGTGCTGAGGCTGGAGATGAGGGGCAGTGTCCCCAGGAGGTCAGTGTTGAAGATGCTCAGGTCGAAGGGAGATTTCAGGAGCTCGGGGCCGGCTTTGGGGGCCAAGGGAGCACCCGGAGCCCCATAGCTCAGCAGAAGGGGGGCTGGGGGCCCCATCTGGCAGGAAAAGTCCCAGGTGGTGGGGTCCTGTGGGGCCCCCCACGGAGCGAGATGCTGTGCGTGGCTGCAAGGTTGCTCGGGATGCGACTGCTTCAAATACCCTTTGGCCACAGGCAGCTCGGAGCACTCTCTGTCCAGCACAGTGTCAATGCTACCCAGGCCCTGTGGGGATCCTGCACTGCCCAAGAGGGGCAGCCCCACGGCCGGGTCCTGCCTGGGCTCCACCATACCCTTGGACTGCTGCAGGTACCCGTGGAACTCCAGGTCTGTCTGGCTGTCCTGGCTGGTGGTGAGGGACAGCCCAAGCTCCCCTCCATGGGGCTGCCTGGTCTCCGTGGGGCAAGTGATCCCGCTGCCCGAGGAGCACGTGGGGCACGGGCAGGCGCTCCCCAAGCCCACGCCACTGTCATCGCCTGCCGCTTGTAGCCCTGGGGCTCGGTGCCTGCCGAGCAGCTCAGTTCGGAGGAGTAGGGAGGGGTGTGCAGGCAGATGCCGCTGTCGGTACTGGTACAGCTGCTGTCTCCGCTCTCCATGGCCCCCAGCCCCAGCAGGCACACCCCATCCTGGGGCCATGCTGGGAGCCTCCAGCCCTTGTCTGGGGGCAGCTGGGCTGTGCCGTTGCTGCCGTTGGGGACGGGGTACTGCGTGTGCTGTTGTTGCCGTTGGGGACGGTGTCCTGCGGCGGCTCCTTCTGGCACAGGAACAGCTGCTGGATGGGGTCTGCATTCGGGTTGCCCGAGGATGAGGACTCCTGTTCCCCCCAGAGCGAGCTCTGCTTTATGAAGGACTTCTGGGAAGGAGAGGAAAAGAAGAGTGAGCCAGGCTTCATCCCTGCTTGCCGCTTGCATCTCCCAACAGCTACCCAAGGCTGCACCCCCACCCCGGCTGCCTTACCAGGACGGATGGTGGCCTCACAGGTTTCTTTATGTAGGTGCACACCAGCAGAGCCCCGAGGAGCCCCAAGAGCAACAGGGTGATGAAGGAGGAGCTGACAATGCTCGGAACGAGCTCTGCACTCCCTGAAAGAGAGGATGCACTCAGGTGAGCGGGGAAAGGCAGAGTCCTCCATGCAGTGGTGGCCTGGAGCGGCTGCTGAGAAGGATCCGTGTCCCCCAAGGGCCACTTTTCCTGGCTCCCCCACCACTTACTGTCTCTCTCGCCGATGGTGACGCACTGCTCGGGGGTGCGCGTGGCACGGATGCGCCGGCTGGCCACGTGGGGCTCCACGCTGATGCAGTACTCCGTGTCCCAGAAGAGGTTGCTGATGTTGAAGACCGGGGTGGTCTGCACCACTTCGTACTGAAACGACCAGAGTGTGGGCTGGTACCTGGGAGACCCCAGCTCCTGTGGGAGCTCTGGATCACACGCTGCCCTCCCGCCTCCTCTCCCACTCCCCAGTGAAAGGGCCCAGGGTGCTCAGTAGTATGGCTGACAGCAGCTAGACCCAAAACCTCAACAAGAGTTGGGGGACCTACTATGGTAAAATGTGCAGAGACATCCCTCTGCAATGTTGTGATGGTGAGAAAGCTCAGTATTAACTTTTGGAGAGGACTATACTTAATGTGGTTTTCAGCTTGAGCAGCACTGAACATGACAGATGGGGGTAGCACGGGACCCGCAGCTCTTCTCACCGTCCGATTGTCCTGTGCCCTCCTGACGTACACCCGGTACTGCCTCGCGTGCTTCTGTACGTCGTCGTATTTCACGGTGCGGTTCCCCACCCGGAGGAGCAGCTGCAGCTGCATGTGGACGGTGTTGCCCATCACAGCGAGGCTCTGGCCCGACAGACGCAGGCTGGCTGGGAACAAGTCAGATGGGAGAGCACATTAGGGGTTTTTGCAGCACCAAGAGCATTTGCAGCGGCGGACTGAGCTGGGACTGTCCCTTGCTGCTGCCTGTCCTAGCTGTGTCCCATCCCATCACCAGCTGCCCCCAGGATGGTGCGGGGACAGACATCCCTGCTCTCACCTGGCCCAAAGCTCTCCCCTAGCAGTTTGGCACCCTGACCTCTGCCATCCCCGAGGCCTCCTGCCCCGGCCGCGGGGTAGAGCCAGGCACCCGACCTACCTTCTCGCGGGGAGAAAGCGTTGGTCCGCTGCCACGGGGATGTGCGGTTCCCAGACACGGCCCGGACCCGCGCGTAGTAGCGAAGAGCCGGATCCAGGGTGTAGTACGTCAGGTCGCAGGAGTGTCCTGAGATCTGCTGGCAGTTGGGAATGGCTGTCCAGGAGATGTTTGTGCCGTAGCTGCCGGGAGAAGCGTCTGTGGTGAGTGGCGCAGGCAGGGGTAGGGACGCGGCCGTCCTCACTGTCGGTATCAGATCCTGGGCCAAACCCCTTGCACCCCACAGCTGTACTCACACTTTGTGCTCCACCTCATAGCGGACATCACTGGGGGGGCCGTCTGCAGGCTCCCACTGCAGCAGGTGATGCGCTATCTCCGCGGCGAAGCGCACGCGCGTGGGGCTCGCCAGCTTCTCACCTGCGAGAAGGCGAGCGTTAGGGGAGGCTGTGCAGAATCCCGTCCGAGGAGCTCCTGGCGATTTCCTCCTCGCTCCCCCAGCCACATGGAAAGCTGTAAGCTTAGCCCTCGCTCAAGGGTTTGCCCAGGCCTGTCTTCCAGGGCAGTGCTTGCCTGTTCCCCTCTTCCCCTTCCTCTCTGTTCTGGGGAGACCCCAGCCCAGCCAAGAGGGTCTCAATGCCCAAGGAAGGAGCCTGCTGTTTCCTAGCACCTCTGTGGGTTCAGCTTTCCTGTTTTGCTTATCTGCTCTCTGGAAGAAACAGACTTTTTCACACCTCCTGCCTGAATTTCGGTATTGTCACCTGCCAGCGAAACACCGCTAGAAAACATCCGTCACCCTTTCTGTGCCGGCTTCCTCAGCAGCTGCCGTTTGCCCGCCGTGCCGCTGGCTGGGGGGACGGCTGTCAGCAGAGCGCCGCGCTACCGACCGCGGCGTCTCACCGCGGTGGAGATGAGCAAGGCTGATACCTGATGGCTAACTCAACCTCTAGGCTCCCGACCGGCGAAGAAAGGCGAGTGGTGAGCAGGGAGCCCTGTGTGCTGCTCCCAGCAGGCAGGACCCCACCGGCACCACCAGCCAGCAAAGGGGTCCGAGCTGTAGCTCCCACCCGCAGCAGCTCCGCTGGCCCCTTTCCCCGTATGCCTTCCCCCATCCCGGTCCCCAGCCGGTGCTGGCATCGCGGGTGCGGAGAGGAGCAGGGCAGGCTGCCGGGAGCCTTAGGACTCAGGCACAGTGGGCAGGCAGCAGAAGACCAGCTCGGTGCGGGCAAGAGACTCACCGTCCGTTTGTGGGGCGAGGAGCAGTGCCAGGCAGAGTGCCAGGGCCGCAGCGGAGGGGGCCATGCCGTCTCAGCATCCTCTGCGGACACAGGGCTGGGTGAGCGGGGTGCCGGGCTCTGCACTGGCGCGCTGCCGAAGGCTTGTTTTTCCCCCGAGGGCTGGCGTGCTGACGTCTCGGAGGCGTTCGCGCAGTGGGAGGAAAGTAGCTGTGTAGTGACTTCCACTTCGCTGTCCGCCCACTCACCACAGCTAATCTCTCAGCCCAGACTGGGCATTTCCTACCAGCAGCCTTAAAGGAAGAGCTCTGGGGGCTTTTCTGAACAAAACGGTACATTGCTGAGAAAGGGAAAATAGAAGTAAATCATGTGTCTGCTTTTGCTGCTTTATTGTTGAACGAGATGGTAAACACG